TTACGAAACTAAACAAACAATACAAAAATATTAAACAAACTGATTTGAAACAAAGAAGTTTTGTTATGGAATTATGAACTTGAATTAACAATTAAATATAGTTCTTACAATATTTTTAACCTAGTAATAATGATAATTAAAAATGGATTTACGGAAATCTACTATATGTGTTATAAATATAGTATAACTAGCTGACCCGGCAAACATTGTTATGCCATGTATATTATTTCTAGGAAACATTTTTTTAGTTCAATAAAAATAACTATCAACTATAATAAAAAATAGGGGTTGATCGTAGAGGGGTGAAAATTAGAGGTTGTATGTATTTTGTATGTTATATTATAAAAATAAAAAAATCTAAAAAATAAATAAAAAAAAAGGGTGCGTGTACTTATGTACGCGCGTAAGAAGTTATACTTCTTTGGCATTATTAAAAATAGTTTTTGATTGCATGCAAATAATTAATTACAATTAAATAATCAAAGACTGGAAAAGGAGTCATTATAGTCAATTAAGTTCAGTTTACATTTGAAAAATTAAATAAATAATTATTTATTATTATTCTCTCACATTAAGTGTAACATAAATTCTATTTAGTTAAAAGTATATATAATTATATATTTAGAACATCTCTACCAAACACTAAGAAGTATGTTGTAGCTTTGGCAGTATTGCACAATATAAAATTAATAAATTTCTTTGAAAAAATAATCAAAACTCCTTTATTTGTTTAAAAGGTAAATGACAAATGTCATTATGGTCATTCAAAATTCTTGGCATACGAACTTCACGCATATTCTATTTCTTTTTACTTGTAGATTGTCTTATTCCTATCTCGCTCGCGCACGCTATAATCACACTCCCAATTTTGTGTCACAGGTGCGCGCGCATCGTAAAATTTCACTCTCATAAATTTTTCATAACGCGCCTAAAGAAGTATAACTTCAAAAATTGGGATAGACAACCTTTATCACTTAGGGGTTTAAAAGATAGATAGTAGCCGATTCTCAGACTTATTGAATATGCCATAAAAAATTGCGAATCGGTGGAGGAGTATGGGAACGAACATAGTGACACGAGAATTTTATATATTAGATAACGTGTTCAGATCTTCTGAAGAGCGTGTTAGTGGCGCCATACAACATCCTCTCTCTCTCCTGTCTTGGGCAAGGTTCTTCGCCTGGGAGATGGTTAGACCTGTAAGCCCTGGTGCCAACGCTGGTAGCGTCACAATTTTTTCTTAACTTTCTGGATCTCTGCGTGTTAAATGACCAGGTCGTAAAGCTTCGAAAGACGAGTTTTACCAGTAACAGTCTTACGCAAACGCTTTCTTGGCTAATGTTTATAGAACTTTATTTCTCATTACAAAAATAATGTATTTTATTTACATGAAAAACTTAATATGTATATACGAACGTGATACACGTCGCCATCAGCCGTCCCAATTTTAGTCTACTCTCATTCTGATATGTATGCCCTTTTAAATTGGTTATAACGCGCTAATATTACGAATTTTAGACGGTAATTGATTGGCTGTCCTGGGAATCCTAAGCCCCCCAACCACAGTTTTCCCAAGCTTTTAATAACATTCAAATATATTTATGAGATACATATACATGAGGTTGTATGGAGTGTACCCATTTTACCCAATAATGTATCCAACTTTGTTTGTCTTGGGCATGGTTGGATACAACAAGTTAGAGGTAAGGAGGGACCTTACTATCACGGTATATTTTTTTAAGATACTTAGAGGTAAAATCTATAATGCGGAAATGTTGGAAAGACTGGGGCTGCGTGTGCCAAATAACCACACTCGGCGGGGTAAGCGGTCGCAATTGCTGGCAGTGCCTCGGGCGCGGACGAACTTACTTAGAGAAGCACCATTTACGCGTGTTTTGCGCACACTAAACAATATTGCTTGTGAGACCGATATATTTAGTTGCACACTGGCTGAATTCACAAGAATTTCATTATTTATAATTAGTAATAAAATGGTTTAGGTTTTTAAGTTTTTACTTGTTATGTTTATATTATGTTTCACGATAGTTTTCTATTGTATTAGTATTAAGTTACTGTAAAAATAGGAAATAAGGAAATAAATAAATAAATAAATAAATAACATTTGAATACTTCTAAGGATCTCTGTAGAAAAACGGTTTTACAGACCGGAAATTTTAAGATCCGGCCCTCAGATTTCTAAATCAATTTCGTAATCATTTTCTTTTCTCATAGACAAGTAGGTCATCAGCTTCTGTGTCTGACACACGCCGTCGTGGCAGTATTCTCACGATGTTTTCCTTCGCTGTACAAGTGTTATATCCGCACCGAGTCCATTGGTGTACAGCCGGGGATCGAATCTACGACCTCTGGTCTTTAACCCACTAGGCCAACACTGCTCTTAATCATTTTTAAAACGATTCGTTTAAAATATTGAAAAGCTAATATTTTGCTCAGCCATTTTCTTGATGTTATATTGTTTATTTATTTTGTTTCAAATTAAATATCCTCTTATCCATCTTAAGTTTAAATATAGAAATAAATATTTAAATTTTAGTTAATAATAACGTATACTAAATCTTAATATATATAAATTACGTGTCATGTTGTTTGTCCGCTATGGACTCCTAAACTACCGAACCGATTTCAATCAAATTTGCACACCGTGTGTAGTTTGATCCAACTTAAAATATAGGATAGCTTACATCTCAATTTATACCCGCAATATTATTGTATTACAAAATATTTGTTTATTATTTGAAAGTCAAAAATTCTAACAGATGGCGCTTTGTTGAAAGTACCAACATTTCACATAAGCTACAATTTAATCGCATAACTACCAAAACAGCAACGCTTGGCCGAGTCTAGTATTGGGCTAGTTTAATATAAATATTACTATAATATAAATGTGAATACAACATACAATTTGTAAACAAATCAATAAGTAATCGATGAACAAAACAGCGTAGTCTTGACGAAAGCTTTAGTTTATTGAGGTCACCTCATAGCTTAGATAATATTACAACAATTCTGTAACAAGTTGGTCACATACCTCTGTTACATTTCTATGTAATCATCCAAAATGTTAACGTGTTACCATGGTTACGATGTTTTGTATGTACAAATGGTTACCATGGTAACCGTCGCGATGCTACCTATATTCCCCCTTTTAATCGTTATTTTTTTTTAGATTTAGGTTATTTTAATCTATATAAAATATTAAGAAACTTGATTGTACTTTGGAAACTTGTTTGTTATTAGAAATTATTGCCAGAGAACTCGCAAAAGACGATTATACTTTCCTCCAAAAAAGCATGTCGTGCTCAGCTATCTTCGAATACATTATCGAACCAATTCGAAAAGAAGAAAAAATTACTGTTCATTACGTTACATTCGCTAAGAATTCGAACGAGATGCCTAATTTATTATAATTTATTTAATCTACAGAATAATATAATAAAATCAGTAATCAGTATAATAAACATAGCAGTCTTGTTTATGAACGCGATAAATGCATATAAAAGTAGTTTTTCAATTTACTTTTTATGTTGAGGTATTCCTCAACGTTCTCTCTCGTTTGCTCTCGACGTATACAGCCGAACTTTCCGAAGTTCGGGTCTATACGTCGACAATACATACATCATGCTCAACTCGGTTTTTTATGTCATCTCGAAAAAAGTGCTCGACTAGATGACATATTTAATAAAGATATATTATATATGTAGATATATATTATATTATAGACATATATTTCCCATCTACATGGAACCAACAACAGAGCTGGTGCGGCTTGTGAAGCGGCTGAAAAAGCTAAAGCATGCAAATACTAGTCTAGGCTCCGAATATGGTTTTGTCCTATTCGGTGTCGAGACCCTTGGTCCGTGGGGTCCTAGCGCTAAAAGGCTTTTTAAGGAATTTGCAAAAAGGTTAGTCGACATCAAAGGAGACCGGAAAGCTGGCAGCTACCTCTGACAAAGATTTAGTTTAGCTATTCAAAGGGGGAACGCTGCCAGTATCTTCGGAACCATGCCTAAAAGATGTAATTTTAAGGTTAGTTATTGTTTTCTTATTAATGTATTAATTGTGTTGTATTAATTAAAGAAGACATTTATTTACATTTTCTGATATTATGCAGTGTTTAAAAATTCCTCTTTCTTCATTTTTATATGAGTCGAGCTCATGTGAGACAACGTATAGAACACCGCTTAGAATCAAACAACTAAACTAGGCTTGTATAACATACAATTTAATTTATGTAACATTGAATGCAGAGGAAACTCATTACATATAAACTTAACATAAAATTTTATATATTTCGCACGTTTACTTCCTTCACAAAAGAAGTTATGAAATTTCGTTTATTCTTTGATAAAATAAGACAATGGCGTGAATTGAGACACGAAATCTTGGGAAGCTTAGCCAATGCAGTAATGGTGCGCATACAAGACTTCCTGTCATAATTGTCATAATTACTTCTTGAGGAAGCGGTTATTATGTTATTAGCAATAAATAAATCAATATCTGTATCTGTTTCATGATGTAATAGGCAAGTAGGTGATCAGCCTCCTGTGCCAGACACACGCCGTCGACTTGGGTCTAAACAAGCCGGTTTCCTCACGATGTTTTCCTTCACCGTTTGAGCGAATGTTAAATGCGCATAGAAAGAAAGTCCATTGGTGCACAGCCGGGGATCGAACCTACGATCTCAGGTATTAGAGTCGTACGCTGAAGCCTCACATCACATATGCTTTATTAATAAGCCCGTTTATGTCCAATAAAAAAGATACAATTCTGAGTGGATTTTTAGTATATTTTAAAACTATATTTATTTATTATATTTAAAGAATAATAAAAATTAGTTTTGATATTCAATTGTTGCTGTCATAATACTGTCACTGTCACCCTGGCTGAGACAATACAGTTAGGGTCCGTCCCACCAGGTGTTATGAATAGAAGTGCAATTATAGAACAATTACAGAACTTATAAATGGGCTATCTCAATTCTAGAGAACTTTATATGCTGTTATATGTCTTACCTTCAGCCCCTGGAGATGCGCCTCTGAGCTGTGTTCGACTTTTGACACGAAGAAGCCAGTTGCGTATTCCTTTCCTCCTCGCAAAGAGAAGCCGAACGCTGGTGCGGCTTTTCGCGGGCGCAGTAATCGGATGACCCGCACGCGCCTCTCTGCAGCACCGGAGAGGTCACCACGGGATCCAGAGGTTGGCGTCGTTGACGTGGCATACATTGCTCTGGAATGGAAAAATGATATCAGGTCAGAGGTAACAAGTCTTAAGGACCGATCTGGTCGCCAAACTCCAAAAAAGTTAATCGTTTCTTGAATTAGGGAAGTAGGGCAAATGGAAGGAATAGATGGTGGAGTTGAGTAGTTTATGTATCCATTTTGAAAGATCGATACACGATTTAAATAACTTCGCTTGATAGAAAAAAATCCAAACATAGCCAATTTTTGACACTTTGAATTCATTTTATGATGAAAATGTATCTATATAGAACATGATTTTATCGCAAGCCAAGTAATCCATTTCAAAAAAAAATACATTTATTTAATGTTTTACATAACCATAATAATTGACCTAGCATGTAATAAACTCGACTATCGGCATCATACGTACTGAACTTAATTGGGATTGCTTGAGAGTGATTTATCACGAAGATGCCTCAATATCGCAAGATATGAAAAAAATAAGTAAAAAATATAACATAATTTCTGGTACAGCAAAAGACGACAGATAAAAATAACCGACTAAGAATTGTGTTTTATGTCATTACTAACACTAATCTGAAATAAACTTTTTCTTTTTCTAATACAGATTTTTCTTCTTTCAATTTACCGACCACTATTTGTAACGTCTAAACTGCAGTCTCTTGAGTGTCGTTTTATAGAGTTTACACGGTATATATTTGTATTAATATAACTAATACAAAGCAAATTTTAACTAATTATAATGCAGTATGAACTTTAAATAAATCAATTATTTATTTAACGCGCGTTGAACTCATTTTAAGGACGGAAATGTTAAGTGTTATGAAACATATTTCTGCATCCGTTTTTCTTGATCTCTGTCCTAAATATAATACAATATTCGTGGGTAGTACTGATGTGTCCAATAGAGTTAGTATTAAATGTTAAAACGCAACACGAACATTTCAATTATTTTTGAAGTGAAACTTCTTTAGGCGCGTGAGGGTAAAATTTTTGAAGAACGTAACGAAGATGTGCAGCGTTTTTGTCGAAGAAAAGGGGGAGAGCGATTGAGAGAGAGTGAGAAGGGCCGATTTTATGCTAAATAATAAAACAAAATATAATTTGTACACTTAACACTTAATATTTTAATGACAATTAAATTCATTAAATTCCTAACATATCTTCTTTTTTCCCTCCCTCTTGGTCTCGGAAATCTAAAGTTTTAGATTTGTATAAATATGAACAAGACTTCCGACATGTGTACGCGCGCACTTTTTTTAATAGAATAGGGGGTTCACGGGCAGGAGGCTCATCTGATGATAAGTGATACCACCCATGGACACTCTCAACGCCAGAGGACTCGCGACAGCGTTACTGGTTTTTTAAGAATAGATACGCTCTGTTCATAAAGGACCCTAAGTCGAATTGGTTTGGAAATAGTTCAGTGGGCAGCTGGTTCCACATTGGTGGTGCGCGGCAGAAACTGCCTTAAAATTTGCTCAGTTGTGGAAGGGACGTCGAGGTGGTACTGGTGGTATTTCGTATCCTTGACGTCCGATCAAGAAACTCAGCTACAGGTATTAACATAATATTTAATACAATAACATAAACGTATGTAATCCTTAATGTATTGGAATATATGCAATTTTTTTAATTTGTTATTTTCAAAGCAAAAAAAAAACCGTTATACCTAACAACTAAATTCTATAATGTACTAAACTCGGCTGGGTAAACGGTATTATATCCGGAATTAACCTTAAATCAGAAGCCATGCAAGTGACCGACCCGTTACGATTTTTATTATAGTCTACTGTTTCAATTACTGTGTGTATTGGAACTGTCATTAAAATTTAAACGAATCTCATACATTTTCTATAATTTATTCATTTCCAACACACAAATATACCTACTGTATTTACAATATTCTTAATAGTAGTAAGTTAGTAATCAATTAATTAATAGAAAATTAAAATAAATTTTAAAAAGTTTGGTCCCCGCTGCTGGAATGAACCCATATTAAACCGTCTAGATAAGATGGAGGCAACGAATACTTGATAATATAATATAATCTTTTAACATCACCAAACCGGTAAAAATAACGCAAGTTAATATAAATAAGCATTAATGATTTAAATTAATAAAATTACTGTACTTAAAACTATGCCTAATATAAACATTTAGGTCACAACAAACGCAATATTGGTTTAGTAATACAACCTTCTTAGTTGATTCTTAAAAAATATGTAGTCCGCGAATACAGGCCAGTTATAATTTAAAAAAAAACAATTGTTCCTGCATAAAATATAATATCTTGGTTTTGGCGGCAACACCATAGACACTTGCATAAATTCGAAACTTGAATATCCATAGACTATTTCTCAATTTTGACACAGAACAAAAGCTAGCCTTGACAAACAAGGCAATGAAAAATAGTAATAGGGAACGCGTTGAACCGTTGTGTACCAAGTTAGGTACTTATCCTTATGCAATACGTCTTATTAGGGCACCCTTCCGCGAACGTGTTTCGTAAATAACGCAATGGAACGGTTTCCAAGAGACGAGATGAATTATACATTAAGTTATAATCATCTCATGTATTGAATCCTATTTCTATTTTGTGTGAGAAACAGTCTTTAATTAATTCTTGTTTATGGCTTTTATTTGTGCCAACTGGGCACAAGGTACATCGCCAGTGTCGTGTAGATGGAGAAGAAACAATATTTGCTTATTGCCGATTTGACATTTGGCGCGAACTGCCAATGTCAAAATCTAAAACGTTTTCGTTTCTTATCATTTACGCCTTTGTCCATTAAAAATTAGATTAAACAACGACACTACTTTTTTTAATAATCCCATATACAAGCGATGGTTAATATAAATAAGATACATCGAAAATTTATTGGAATTTTGACATATTTAGTCATAGTTCGCGCGTAAATTTAGTTTTTTCACTGTGTGGTAATAAACCTTTACGATGCTATTACGGTAATATGTTTTAATAATCTTTTTCAATAGTTGTAGTTTTCGAGTTCTTATATGAAGAAAATAACATGGTATGAAAAAAGAAAACATGGGTATGAAGTAACCATGTTTTACCTTATTTCCTTGACATTACAATAACCTATTGACAGGTTGTTCGTTAAAGGTCAAGAGAGCGTCATTGTTCTCATGGTAATTATATTGATGTCTAAAGATTACTGCTCTTTTTCTTTTTTATGTGTTCTTTATTATTGTCTCTTTCACTGTTTACATTTTTAATTTCTTTGCTTTGTTCCATTAGTTTTGTTGTTGTAAGTAATTTTATGTATTTTTTTTTCTAACAGTGGAAGACATCGCTCGAAAGCGATTAGGCCGCCTTTGTATTTAATTATTTTTGTTTGTACTGTATATCTGTATTACGGGAACGAAGTGTTTATAATTAAATAATAACTACGTTTTTAATGTTACCAGAATAATTTTTATTTGTTATTTTTGTTCTTTAAGTAAATGCATTAAGCTATTATTAACTAGCGATAGTAAGCGAATTTTAACGGACTTACGATTAATAAAAATTAAAGCGCGAATTTTTTTTTATAGTATCACTGTATTCGTATTAGATTATGTTTAATGGTACATTTATTTAAAACTTCATATTCAACATTAAAAATATGACATAGAAAAAGCATGAATAAAAAAGTTTGAGGTCGCGAACATGTAGGGAGGAGAGAGGGCCAGAGTGCAGCCTCCTCTGTGGATCAATGACCTGCGTCTGCGCAAGCCAACAGCTCGTTTCTGCGCTAATGTTTCTTGCATTGACAGATTGTGAGGTATTTATAGTTTATCTTCGCTTGCCTTTAACTAGAATTTTAACCATCATTTAAATTAGTTCGTGTACATTGAATCTATGAACAAGTAATAGGTTTGTGTAATCAATATTTTTATATATAATTAATATAAAATAACAAATAAATCAGTGGCGCTACAACCTTTTTAGGTCTGGGCCTCAGATTTCAGTATCTGTTTCATGATTATTTGTAAATCTAATAGGCAAGTTGGTCAAGTACCAGACACAGGCCGACTTTTTGGCTCTAAGGCAAGCCGGTTTTCTCACGATATTTTCCTTCACCGTTCGAGCGAACGTTAAATGCGCACATAGAAATTTTATTGGTGCACAGCTGTGGATAGAACCTACGACCAATACTTTATAAAAAAGATTTTTAATAATATGTGAAAGTAGACTTTGAAAACCATAGACTAGAAGTAGTATGTGATATACATCGTATTATCATCGTAACTATGGCAACCTTAGTTCCACGTTTAATAATCATTATTATTTATTTGTTTAAGCTAATCCGGTTATTATTATTACTACAATACTGTCTTAAATATTATATTAGTAGGTAGCTTTTGAACAGGGGGCAAAGGGGTAGGCGGCTAACCTGATGTCAAGTGATACCGCCGCCCATGTTCACTTAATGCCAGAGGTTTCGCGAGTGCGTGTGCCTTTTAAGAATTGGTACACCCCTTATAAATAGAGTAAATCCCATTATGCCACGGTTTCATTCTCTCGTATAACACGGGTAATCCCTATAAAACGCGGGGATTTCACACGTGACATTCTGTACTGTGAAATTTAAAATGATTTGTACGCACATACTTCGCTCATAGCATAAGTTTTCTTTAAATCCAAAGGGGAATGGAACGAGAAAAGTTAAACGTGAATCATTTGTACATAACGCGTTATATTCATACAAGCGCGTTATATGAGAATGATTTTACAACGCGTTTCTTAAACTCAAACTCAAAATATCTTTATTCATATAGGTAAACAAGTACACTTATGAACGTCAAAAAAAGAAGTTAAATAAACTTTAAATTTACATTTACTACCAGTTCGCAAGTCAAGGGCGTAGAGCGGGTAAGAAGAACTGGTAAGAAACTCTCCGCCACTCTTTAATCGCTAAGTATTGAGTCATACAAATTGTTTGAACTGGAGCAAATCAATCCCAAGGATTAGGATCATTTGAGTATTCGTCATATTTATAATTATAACGTGGAAC